CCCCAAGTTGAAACTCGATGTTGAAGCACGAGACACATGGGGACTGCAGCTGTCAGCAGCGCGACACTCTCCGAACTGGTACACAGAGGGCAGCAACGATTATAAATCGCTTTAATAAGGACACTTCTCCTGTTTGAGGAGCCTTTTGTCCAGGAATGCTGCCCAGCACAAAATTTCAAAGCTGCGTCCCAATAAATCTCCATAAAGGCAGCAGCATCGGACCACAAGGAAGGAGCCTCCTGGTCTGCAGGAGTCTCACACGGGCAGGAACACGGGAAGACTCGACAAGAAACCAAGTGCAGCACAGCTGAACAGCTGCGGTGGAAAATGATTCCTTATCTTGCAATTAAGAACCGATTTCCACCGAAAACACACAGGACTTTGGGTTAATAGATTTCTTTAAAAGAAAATCTGTTTTGGCTATCAAAACATTAAAAGTGAGGAACAGCTGTTTTGTCAGCGAGGACAGATTGTATGGAAAACTCAAATATCAAGCCACAAATTAAGCTAGCATTTATTTCTGTTCTATTTACATTTTCAATAAAATGAAATTACATTCAGGAAAATACAGCATACCCCAGCATATATACAACCCCAACACTAGACTGTTTTTGAAACACTACTGGCAAAACTATTAATATTTTACTTTATACTTCAAAGCCATATTATTGCATGCGGCTGCATCCAGGAAGTACACATCTTTACACGATTTTCCCATTTACATTTGCAGCAATTAAAAGCACACTAGATACACAACTCACCATCCATGAACTCTGTACACAATGAAATTCTGTTTTCTACAAAAAAAGCACCATAAAATCCTATGATATATGATGAGTCACACTGAAAAAAGAAAGGAAAAAAAGAAACCCATTTTAAATTTTTCTGCATAAGAAGAAGGATTATAAGCAAGCATAATTTAAATAAGAAAAAGCAAATACCTTGTAAAGAATTTCCAACTCTGACATAATCTGTTTCTGGAGCTCCAGTGTTATATCTAAGGGTATGACCTAAAATATAAACATTGGACGCATGGTTAGCTCTGACATAAAAAGGAAGTGAACAATTCAAAGTAAAAACTGAAAACTCGTATATTCATTATGTGAGAAAAAGAGATGGGAGGAGTAAGTGAAAGGGAGATCTTAACAGAGCCATTGGCAAAGGAAGGAATCAAACGGGGACAGTTGCTAAAAGCCCAGCATTAGCAGTGCCTAAACCAACATTTTTTACAAAGCTCTCCCTTCCTTTCCTTGAGGATCCATCCCAGCTTTGTGGGGATGGCAGGGCCAGCCCTTCCCGGGGAGGCTGCTGTGGATGGTTTGGGTTTCCTTATTGGACTTAGGGCACTGAAAGCAGCATCTGAATGTATTGGTGGCATGACGGAGCAGCAGCAGCCAAGCACCAAGACCCAGCGCTGCAGCATTCCACGGACAGGCTCCCGCCAAGGATCCCGCTTCCGACAGAAGCAGGATTCCTAAAGCTGCAGGTGTATTGCCGAGCACTAAAAGGGCAAAAAAGGGATTCCCCAATATACTGTGACGTGGCCAGGCTCCGGGTGGAACGCGGACTCTCCACGCGTCCTGTACCGTGATGATTTGAACACTCGGACGCTTTTCTTGACCACTGCGATAGCATCTAAGTAATCGCAGTAAGCAAAAAGGACTCGCCGTGCATTTTTCCCAGACTGAGTCTTCTACCATTCAATACTTTATAGTTAAATACTTTAAAGGAAAACACAGTAGATTTGCAGAATTAACAGACTCCATTACTATAGGCCGCACACATTGCTGATGAAGCAAGATACAGAGAGCCCATTTCTAAACATATATTTTACAGTACCAAAATCTGTCTAAGAGGAAAAAGGATAACCCATTTCTATCAGGAGTTTCCTTTAGGGTTATTTATAAAAGCTGTCACTAAACTAAATTGTGACCGTAACACAGGGCTGCCAAGAAACATTTAGCAAGCTTGTCTAGATCAATAATCATTTGCCAACAATATTCACTTACATTTTTTCCAGCATGAAAAACTTAAAAAATAATTTGCTGGAACACTATCAGTTTTACCCATTAAAGTATTACCAGGACTTAATCTTGTCAGCAGAATAAAATTTAATTTTGCTTCACCCGATTCTTTTTGCTTTGAGAAATCTCCCAGCCTCATTCACTGTCAAGGCCTCCCCAGCCTAAGCCAGGACTAACTAAGCAAGATCAGTGTCAAGCCGGGGACTGATGGCCACTCAACCAAGCCTGGGCATGAGGAAAGGTCTCTAGCTGGTTTCATTGGTTATAATTACATGGAGATCCTGCATTCGCAGGGAGGATACCCTGGAAAGGCAGGATTCCCTCCTCCTGCCTGAGCCCTGCACCTTACGGCATCCCGAGCCTTCATTAGTGGAACCTCCCTTGGGTTTCCAAAAGCGACGCACCAGTTTTGCTGCAACTCTGTGGTGAGCGCACACCACCATAAGTTACCTTAGGGGAAGCCACTGGCTCGGTTTCCCTGCAGAACTGGTCTACAGAAGTGGTTTACTCCATCCCAACGCATGTGGCTTGTGTGACTCGCCACACAAATGAGACACTCCTCATGTAAAGGTTAGAGAACCTTGTGTTACTGCACTGAAACGGGGCTGAGGGAGGTGGGGGGAACCTACCCAGCTCTGTCTTCACACAGCTGTAATTTCCATGCTTAGCTCTTTTGGACGAAGTTTCCAAGAATATTAAGAAGAGGAGGTTCGAAGTTTCCAAGAATATTAAGAGGAGGTTCACGTGCAGGAAGCACCTTCCAAGCATGAGTGAGCTACCGCTGTGAACACTGTGTGAAACAGTGTTGAGAAGGAGACTCCTCAGTCCTACCGCTACCAGGAAAGCAGCAACAAATAAGGGGGTGGCTGAAACCTCCACAACTGTAACTGAGGTGAGCAAAACAGATTCAATATCAGATGGTAAGTTTTCTGAAACAGCATCTTCAGGAAGAAGAGTCTAGCAAGCAAAGGAACAACTGAGATTCTCATGGAATTGCGAGCAGACAAGTGAAACTGAATTCATCAAGCATAAAATGCCTTGCTGTGAACTCGCGGAGCACTGATCGACACACGTGGGAGCGGAATTTGTTAACGAGTTTGAGCTGGAGCTGCGAACACGGGGCCGGTGGAGGGAAGAGCCGAGCGAGTTGGCCTGGGGCAGCGCGGAGCTGCGAGCTCTGCCGCCAGCCTGGCTGCTCCATGGACATGGATGTGCTTGGAGAGCCCGGATAAACGGGAGCTCAGCTCTGGCATCCCACCAGGGCCTCGGGTGCCTGTACTTATTTCAAGATTAGTTGAAACGGTCCCCCCTCCCCAGCTGATAGAGCTGGAGATGGGTATTAGAAAATGAGGTCACCATAACTTGTTTTATTGAAACGGCAGGGCAGGCCTCTGGAATTTCGCAGGGGACAGCGAGCTCTCCTGTTTATTTTCCTCACTTCTGTGAGGTAAAGGAGTGGAACTAGTGCCATTTGCTGGGTGTAAACGGGCACACAGAGCTGCCTCACCCAACACCTGGCTCTGCCCAAGCTACAAACTGAACTCGCACCTCCCTAAGGGCTTGGATCCCAAACCACAAGTTTCCTTCACAAGAGGATAGAGCACTACAGTAGAGTCAGCTGAGCCTAAACCTCAAGCTCCTGCCTAAAATAAAGCAACCTTGAAAACACTTAGCACGTTACAACATAAATGAACTTAAAATACCTAACATTTCAAGGGAAAAAGGGTTAATTTTTAAAAGGAGAATACCTGAACATATTTCCTCTGCTCTCCGCTACACCTCCAGGACAAATAAGGATGAGTTGTCAAGTTAAATACAAGCAGTCAAGTGACTGAATTATAATTTACTCTGTGCTCAATTTAAATTAGTGTGAGGCTATTAAAATATACAGTATAAATACGGCAATTCATCACAAGCTGTCATGGATGACTTCATCTATTTGCTGGAGTGGCATACGTTCCACTAAAGGGAACGAGAGCAAAATCACAGGTCAAATTAAGCTGCTATTCTGTTTTAATTCACTTATTTAATCTGTGGCGACATAATTGTCTTTTACAGTATGTACAACTCAAAGGAAATTTGGGAGTATTACAGTCAGTATACAAATGATTAATCAAATGGTCCATTTAAATGCTAGTTTAAGAGCTGGAGAAACTAAAAGCAGTTGAAGAATGGCAATCAGCCAGTGTACACTCAAAGCTACCATTGCTCTTTTGGACTTTTTCCTTCAATTAGACACAAAAGTTACATTAGAAAATCAATTAAATCCTCTCAATGTTACCTAGCTGTAAAGCTTATGTAGAATACGCAATGATGTAGCCAGTTTTGTCTATAATACAGGTACCACAGTTTACTTTGCACAGCAAAGATGTGAGTTATTACCAGCTCTAAGCATTTTAATCAACAGGTTTGCAGAATGTTATCTTGTCCTATGAAATCAGTATGTTATTAAATATATACTTATGCTTATCTCTGCTTTTTCACAGATCCTTTATTCCAAGACGTCCCCGTTAGCGTGCTAATCCTCTGTCAGGATAACCGATCCCTGCGACGACCTTGTCCCGATGCAGGATTCGGGGTTTTGCCATTAGTTTAAAAGATTTAACCGCACTTCAGAGAAGACTTTTATTCATCTGAGCACAGCCAGGCTTCAGTATACACCTTCATCCAAAATTATGAGGAATGTTAACAAGAAAAGTAAAATTTTGGTCTGATAAAGATACACCATGAAAGGAAAGAACACTAAAATAAATGAATAAGCCTGCTGAAACAGCCAAATCTTCTAGGAAGACAGAATACTCTCAAAGAAATTGGGGAAATTCTCCTTATTTGGAAATGAGGTCAGAGAGGCTACTCAAGGACATGCCCTTGGGGACACCTGGGCCAAGGGTGACATCCCGGGACCTTCCTGCCCAGCGGCAGCCCCGGCTGCGCTGCTGATCCCATAGGGAAGAGCTGCAGCCGGGTGGAATCCCATCGGGAAGAGCCGCAGCCGGGTGGATGCCCGGGGATATCCTGGAGGGAGGACGTGCCGGGCCCTCCGCCCCGGGCTGGAATAACTGCACACCCCGGCGCGGAATTCCGGGACCTCGGGGGTCATTTGGACTTACTGGATCTATGTTTTGTTGCTTTCCTGCATATACAATGTGGACCTTAATGCAGTAAAACAAACTGAGATCCAACAATCATAAAAAAAAAGGAGAGGAAAGAAACAGAGGTCAAGATAGAATGGAGAGAAAGGAGAGAGAGAGAGAGAAAATTACTGTAATATCTTACCTTTACTGCTAGAATTTTTCCACTAGGGACATGATATGCTCTGCATGAGGGGAAAAAATTAAATAACTTGAGATCATATAAAATTACCTCTATACATATGTGCAGCACGTATATACTAATTTCACAGAAAAATGACTTAGAGCTAATACATCATGCTCGAAACCAATTGTCACATAGCACTTCATGAAAAACTTTGACTACAACAATTGACCAAAAGAATATATTCCAAATGGAACTTTCGAGCAGATATTTTTACATCTGCAAGCATTTAAAAACAAAACGAATACTCTTTAAAGAATTTTATATAGCATAACAACAATCTTGAATGTATCCGCTTTCAAAATTCCTTTCAGTGCAGTGAAGTTATGATAAAAACCTTATTCATAGTCTCATAAAATAGTCTTTCTTGCTGAAGCCTGCTAATCCTAAGGGTATTCAGTGGTATGGCAGTGAGAGGCACAACTGCACCAATTAAAGTGGAGTAAAACAGGCGATGACTGATTCTTTATCATAATCTAAGGACCTGAAGAAAGTACAAGTGGAATGAGCAATCTGCATTTGTATCTAAGAGTAGCATGTGTGTATACAGGGTTAGAATGAGTTACTGTTAATGTGAACATGTACTCAAAATGAACTCCCACAATAATTCAAGAACAGTTTGTCTTAATTTATGTTGAAGAATGTTCATAATTGGCTTTTTAACAATGAATTGTATATTCCTAACCATAAGCTTCTAGGAAAATAAAAAGGTATGAGAAAAAAAAAAGTCCTACTAAAAATTCAATGTAATTTTGCATAAAAACAAAACCATTAAAGGTTTTCCTCTTCACTAGTTTTATTGTTTCATACTGATTTATGACATTACACACAGTAATATCATATACATAGAACTAACTTTAAAGATTTATAATATTTTAGCAGTATATACCTCTAGCAATTACTACTGAAGAGGAAAAGCTTTAATAGCTTTATTCTTATCCAAAATTATATGTAGTACAGAGCAAGACTGTTGTTTACTCTTATACAACCCTGAGTGCTTATATAATTTCATTAAGACCTTGGGAGTTTCCAAATCCTTACCTTCATTTAATAACTTACGGATAAGCGTTTATGAAAACAAGCAGCACTAGCTTTCAGAAACCAATGTCGTTTGAGAGAAAAAATATATATGTAAATCTCCCTACGCTCCCCCAAATCACTGTTATTTTAATGCCAGTGTAACGTGCAAAAAGCAGATACCCATCAGATGAAGCGGTAAGTGACAGCCTGGTAGCTGAGCACATAATCACGGAATCCAAAGGAGCAAACGAAGGGCTGTAACTAGGGATGACTCAACAGTGGCAAAACATTATGGACTTAAGATCAGCAAAATGATAAGCAAAGGAACAGGTTGAGATAGCATGCTGAACGTCTGTTAGCTTAATATGTACTGGGCTGGACAGTTTGGCAACTTAATTAGCTTGTCAAGAAAGCTGATCCTTTTTCCATACGAGAGATCTCCTGTTTCCAAGTGAATTAAAAGGGAAGACTTGATTATTTAATTATGATGCACGCTAATTCATCCGTGGAAGTTTGGGTTAAATTTCCAGCAGAGGGCAGATACCTGGTTTGGTTTACAGAGCATTGACAGTACCAATTTAACATTTAATTATCCCTGCGAATTGGATCACAAAGGAGATACCGTGCCCATGGGTACGGCGTGTCCACCGGCTTTGCAAATGCCACATTACCTGGGACAGGGGGAATCTGTTTACTCCGGGCTCACAGGGCATCTCAGCTGTCCTGACCTTCCCCAACACAATAACTGTAAAGTGATTAATAAAGTTTGAATAGGAGCTTTGGTTACACCAAAAGACAACCGTACACCTCTGTAGTGTTTTAATTAACAGCTAACACTTCAAATTAGTCTGTATTTGCTGCAGTAATTACCTGTTCCAATGAGTGTGTCGGGAAAACGGTTTTGTTAGATATTATGTAGAACTGTAAGTTGGAATTGATCATTCTGGTTACAGCAGCACCGCTGAAGCCTGAAGATTTTACACCTTCACGTATCTTCAGAAGGATAAACTAAAAAGAATCCCACAAAATAACGTGCCTGGTATGAAGAAATACCTATTTTTAGTGCATCCATCAGTAAGCCTTTGGATGACAACACGGAGATCAGACTAATATTCATACTTTAGTAGTAACCTGGGGCTCAACTCGAGCGTTTTGTCTCAACACATTTCTGTGTCTCCCCCCGCCAAGCAGATTCGTCCATCTAGAACCAGGTCATCAGACCATGCAAAGCAGCAAATGCAACAGCTCCTCCGCAACGCTGTGCGTTTCAGCGAGCACAAACTGAAAATCATCCAGGAGGGCAGGCAAATGATACCGCCTAATGGACACAGATCCGACAGCAACCTCCCTTCCTAGGAATATATTTGAGTAGTGCCTAACAGTCAAGGCAAGTGGATGTCAAAGGCAAGTGAAAACACTTGCTAAATAGCTGCTGAGCAACGTGAAAGACAAAAAAGAGAAGAGAAATTTAATGCATTGAATAATTTGCACTCTGCACCTGTAATGCGCACATTCAGACCGATTTCTCAGTTGGCTTCTGGCCTTGGGATAACATTCCTCTATGCACATCCCCTTGACTCCTGATGCATTAGCAGAAGCAGCTGAATTTGGCCCCTAACCAAATGAACACCCCAGACAAATAACTCTTTTCCTAGCTTTCACAGAGGAAGGAAAAAGTCTTGGGAGAAGGAGAGAGTAGAAGTAGCAATTTTGAGACCGCCCCAGAGGAAAAGCTTTCCAGGCTCCATCCTCAAAGGGAGGGTGGCAGAAAGCTGCGGGTTCAGGGCAGAAAGGGAGCAGGAAGCTGGAGGGCAGGGAGTTTTGCGGGGCAGCAGAGGCCACCAGGGCTTCCAAGCGAGTCCCACGGGGTTGTGCAGCGCCCAAGAGCCGCCCGGCAGGAACCATGGACATTCCCTTTTCCAGACGTTCTTCCAGCAGAAGAGCAAGGCAGGCGATTCAAAGGCGCAGCCCATGGTGCAGGTAAAAAGCTTTCGACAACTGCGTATTTTGAAACACCCCCGTTGGGAAAGAAATGTAAATGTCTTTGCTCACGTTCCCGTTAGAGTTCATTATTCTGAGCCCTCTCCATCCATTACAACGAGCAGCTTCTAAGGAAGACTGGCACAGTTGAGTCAAATATTTTATTAACCTTGACTACTAAGCACATCCCTAGACACGTAAAGCCCAGAGGGACCCATGCAAGCCAAGTCCTTCAGCATAACTTTGTCTCCTCTGTTCTGAAAACCAAGGAGTTTCCCTGCAGGGAACACTGCAGTAGCAGCTTGCCCAGCTCAGGGGCAAAATCCCCGCTATTTTTGCGGAATAGGAAAGGCAGTGGGAGCAGGAGTGCACTGTACCTGAACAGAGCCCTGCAGGCAAGTTGCAGAAGGCTTCCCATGGACTCTGGAGCATCCCTCGGGCTCCAGAGCGCCCTGGGAAACCAGAACGGGGCTTGGGGGGACCACCAACTCCTCTCCTTCCCCTTCCCCTCTCCCAAAAGGGCTTCTACACAAAAGCAAACTGAAAAAGATCCATTTGTCAAAAGCAGGTGGTGGTTATTTTCAGAAAACCAAAAAGCAAAGTGACAGCAGCTGAATTCCCTGCTGCTTTGTTCCTCTTGAGGTCTACAGCAAAGAAAACCAGAGAAGTGTCAGATGGTTTAGCTCAATCCTGTTTATAAAATAAAACTCAGCTCATCCTCATTTTTATGCGAACAACTTCACACACAAGTATGTGTAGAGGAACTAAGTCTTCATAGCAGTCATATGCTATACTTCAGAAGAGCACAGACATAGAGCATGGACAAGCTTCTTAATAACAAGAGTGGAGATGTCAAACACTCTCTCCTTCTTTTAACTTGCTAAGCCTAACTATTTCATATTCACCCTGTGAGAAATTTTACGGAAAAGCGCTTGGGAAGGTGCATTACCTGCTGTGACTGACTTCTGCCAGGACAAGCAAAGAAATTCAAGCTCAGGTTTCAATATACACCACTAGAGAGGGAAGCTGCAACGTTCAGTTCACTCTCATTTATAATCCCAAAGCATCTGCCCACGTATTAGTGGGTTTAAGGACGATCACATCAGAAGCGCAGACCAAGTAGGCAAAGATCCTTGAGCTTCTTCAAACAGCTTTTCCTAAAATATACAAAACCTTCAACTACAAATAAATAGTTTAATGCTCTCAAAAAAAAAACTAAACAAAACTATGATTTTCTCTTCCTAGAGGCAACGATTCATTAGGATTATTTTATTATATTACAAAGGCACTTACTAATGCTGTTACAAAATTGCATCGAAGGAGCCTGCAACAGCCTAGAAGATCCTGCTTCCCATCCATCTGTTTGCTCTGGCCACTAAATATATTTTCTATTTTTCCCAATAGCCATGGAAACAATTTCTAATCAATGAGATACTCCTTTTGGCAAGACCAAATGATTCAAGGGAAAGCCATGACCTGTCTGCAGTGCCAATGAGTCAGCCCCTTCCCTTCCTGCAAATATGACCGACATCAGCAAATGTGACAAAATGATGCAGTGACAGTGCTGGACGTTAGCGAGGGGCTGCCGAGGAGCCGGGAACAGCGTTCCCTGCCGGAATGCACGGCCAACGTCACCACCTCCCGCTGCAGCTCCAGGGACTCCCACAAAACCTGCCCCTTTGTGCTCCTCAATACACCCTCTTCCCCCTTGTTTTCACATCTTGGTATTTGTTCCCATCTGTTAAACGTCGGAGTCTCATTGCACTCAACCAGATGTGCCGATTTTACTCAGTTTACCCGTTATCTGGATGATCTCACACGCAGCCCTGCACTGGGGAGCTGCAGAGGAACCCTCTGGATACCCACAGGGATGACACACACGTCCCTCTGTCCCAAAGGGATTTTGCCTCAGTCCCAAAATGTTTTGCGAAGGATAGCACAAACCAGGACACGTAAAAGCCCTACGTTTCTTATTTGAGTTTAAAAACTAAACGTCCCTCT